AAAGGTTGTTCTTTATTTCACAGTTGTTTTTTTTCATAAAATTCCATAGTTTAATTTTTACAAAATTGTTATTAAGGAACTTTTTCATTCACAAACAAAAAATCGACATCGTACAAACATGAAGTACAAAATATCAACTCTGAAATAATATCGGATTAAAAAAATCAATGTTTAAAATATCGATTTTTCTATAAAAATATTGGGCTTAGGTGCGAACATACAAACGTTAGCAATCAAGGAACATATTAGAAAACGCCCAAAGTCTATAAGAATTGAACTTAACTACAGATTGTGCAATTTTTTAAAATAATTATAGATAGATATAAGATACATAAGAATCTATTGTAATGTTTAAGAAACATAGGTACATAAGAATAGATAGGTTTTAATGCAATGAAATAGTGAAGGCCTAACGACACAACTATCTGGACCGCGCCCTTGAATTGACCTACGAAAAAAATCTTGTAAAAATTAGTTACTTCGTGTTTCACAACTGCTATGGTCATTAGTCCCGTAATTGTAGGGCAAATGTTTATCACTGGAAGTGGCTGTGTTCTTACCTCGCTGCATGTCGAGATCTGGCGCCTTTTTGCTTTCCACTCACCTCCACCAGCGGGAAGTCTGGCGCTCCCGACTGGCCTCCTGAGGTGCGTAGTGTAATGCAAATTGTGTGTGTATGTGTGTAAGAGGAGAGGATAGAAGTACAGTTATAGAACTTTGTGCTTTAAAAATCTTCATGTTATTTCATAAAGTATTAATTGGACAGAAACTGAATACTATAATAGTTGTTTGGCGATAATAGAAGTGACTATGTGCTGTTCCAGCGCTACTAGTTTACCTAAGCCTTTATTCTTCTCGTTTTGAGTCCGCGGGGCGGATTTGCAAACGCAAATGGCCGGATATCTGAACGTTAAATAGCGTTTGTTTATATATTTTATTTAGTATATTTTGTTCTTTTTGGCTTGTCTCGGCTGGAGTAATCGATGATATGGGGTCAGAGGATCCTTTGCTTTTTGTTAGTAAAGCGGAACGACACTAATCCAAAACTCAGATTCCGCCATGTAATGTTTATTATATAATATGATTTATGTCGTCATATATTTCATATGATGTGTTACAACTCTTCTCACAAGAAAATCAAAACACCCCGACCCATACGGTTTTTAAAAGATCATCGAGCCTAAAAAGACACTATTGAACATTTTATGTACAACGTTATTTCTCACAGTAACATCTCGGCGCGTGATCAAATAGCACTGAAGCCTCTACTCCATGTCACTAGCTATCTGGAATTACAAATCGAGATTAACAAAATTCACTAATCTGACTAGTGTATACGATCTCACCCCATCTCATGTCATTTCGAAACAAACTTACAGCCTACTATGAGATTTGCATTAGAAATAATTAATTCATCTTGGACTCATTTAAATGTATTCAATACTAAACAAAGACTCGTGTCAAAGATGCCCAACCATTCTTTTACAATAGCACTACAAAATTTATTTTAACAAAGCTACACTGGCTAACAGATTAGAGGAACTCTATGCATATTCTACTATTGTAATACACTCTTATTGGTGTACTGTTGTAGTTTACCATATTCTGTATCACCTTGAAAATATAAAGATCGATATCCAAATTCTTCAAGCAGTTAGTGCTTCTGATATTTTGACAATGCTAAAGTTGATGTCTGTGTTGTTAATATAATAATATTAATGATTAATAATAATAATAATAATAATAATAATAATAATAATAATAATAATAAATAGTAAAATATGATAGCGATCGCGACCTATCCAGTCTTCGCTCAATGCAGTCAGCTGGAATGTGTTCTTCTTACCTTTTACCCCTAAAAGAAGATTGCCCCGTATTTTGGCCCAATGTGCATTGCCGCGGTCG